AATATGTCACTCATGAAGGATGTAAAGGTGGATTTATTTTAAAAAATTCATGGAATGATACTGTTTATGGACCATCTATTGCTAATACTGCAAGAGGAGTAAGAGGATCTCATAGTGTTAAATATTTCATGAACCAATTAACTGCTGAAGAAGAACGTAAAGTTTGTCCAAATGCACAAGACCCAATGAATTGGTATGTTTGTGATGATGCGTGTGTTACAAATGAAGAACTTCATAAAACCATTGTTAATGAATTATACCAAGCATATAAATTACAATGTGTTAATCCAGAAGAACATTTTTGTGAGACTGGATATGACTATTATTTAACTGAATTAAAAGCTGACTCTAAAAGTCCTATGAATCATTATTACATTGCTACATTTACCAAATATGACTCTACTGGAAAGAAAGTTGATACTATTACTTTACCATCATTACCTACTTCAATTATTGGTATGATCTTTACTCCAGTTGAAGAACAATTGATTAAACTTCATGATAGTGAAGAATTTTGTGGACATTACATGTTCCCATATTGTATCCTCAATAAACATTTACCATTCTGGGGAGGGTATGTTGGAAGTCATTTTGAAATTGAATGGGATGACAGAAGTTATTTAATTAATAAAGATAAATATCCTGAATTCGATTATAAATTTATTGAAGAATCTACATTCCACCAAAACTTAAATTTAGTCGACCAAAAGGCTGGTGTTCCATTCTTGAATGAAAGAATTTAACTCAATTTTATTATAATCTCTTTATGGTTTTTTTTTTATTAACAAGTTATTTTATATAAAGAATTTAACCAGTAAGTATTTTGTTTGAATGGTTTAAAAAAGAAGAAATTTTAACAATTCATCTTATTTATAATTAAGAAATGTTTAATTATTTTTTTTTTATTTTAAAGGTATAATTCTACTTATTTTAAATATTAGTTTCAAATAAATTTAATAACATAATTAACATAATCATTTCTAATGGTTAGTTTTTTAATTGATTATTTATTACTTATTGCTTCAAAGATAGTAAGTATTTATTAATTAAAATTAGAAGAATTACTAAATAAATAAAGTACTAAAAGAAGATATTAAAAAAAAATACTTTAAATGAGTTAAACACAACACTTATCCATTTAAATAAAAACATAGATAAATTCCTTTTCAAATTGTTAATCAAAACATTCTTTTTATGACTATTGTTTAATAAACACCAATAAAAAGAATAGAAATTAATGAAAAAAATAGAAGAGAAAATTCAAAAAATACAAATTCCAACAAAAGAAACAATTACTAAAACAAGTTATTTAAAAATTAACAGAGTTTATTTATAAAAATTTATCAAAAATGATTAAAAAAAACTTCTTTATTAGAATATCTTTAAAGGAAAGACTCTTTGTTTTAATTTATTAAGTATTTATCATAATTTTTTTAACTTAATGTATGAAAAGAATATTAATTAATTATGATATGAAAAAAAAATCAAATTAAAGAAAGATAAACTACATCAATCCATTAACATGAATATGAGAATCTATTATAGAGAAACAATTAACCCATCAGTTACAGGAAGTGTTGGAACATGAGATGATTCTTGAATTTCAATAGCCATTTTATTTATTGCTTCAATAGAATAACGAGTACTAAAATGATGAATAATACATTTATTAGGTTTTATTTTTAATAACGTTTGAATAACTAACTGAGGATTAGAATGACCCCATTTTAATGCGTTTTCATGAAGGTCACTTGCAAATGTACATTCATGTAATAACATATTTAATTGAATTTTTTGTTGAACAATATATTCAGCAAGTAAAGAAGAGTCATTAGTATCACCAGTAATTGCAATTGATGTATCTTGATGATTAGTGTAATGAGTTTGACAAATAATACCATGACCTTTAATAGAGCCATGATGAGGAATTGGGACGCTTGTGAATGAAGTATTTTTAATAGAGAAATGAGTAATTTTGTCATCACTTAAATCTATATAAGAGACTGTTTTAGGAACTATATCACCAGAATATTCAAAAACAACATCAACCAATTTTTGAATTCCTTTTGGAGCAGCAATAATTAACTGAACTGATGAGTATTATATTTTATTATTAAATACATTGAAAATAGAAATTATATTAAAGAATCATTTTTATTTTTTAACAAACTTCTACTGATGTTCCAAATACTACTGAATGAACAAACCCTGCAATACCACTTGCATGGTCTGAATGTGAATGAGTAATTATAACACCACGTATTTTCTCTAAAGGGACACGAAATTGTGTTAATACGTTAGTAATTCCCTAAATAATTTAATTTATATATTTATTAAAAAAGGTTTTTCAAATTTTATTAAAACAAACATCTCCACAATCAACTAAATATAAATCTTCACCATTATTTGTATATATCAATGTAGAAGTAGTCATTCTTCCGTTAATAGGTCGTGCAGCAGAAGTTCCAGCAATAAGGAGATGAGTCATAATAAAATTAAAAAATAACAGTTTTTAATTTCTTTTTTATTTTTTTATTTTTTTTTGTTGTTGTAAAAAAAATAGATAGATTTGATATTGTCTCGTTAGAAACACTACATACAACCTTAAATTAAATTCAAACTTTGAATTTCTTATTACCATTTTGGGTATGACGTTATTTTTGTTGAAACAATATTCATACTCAAAATTGGTTGAATTGTTATTCATTAATATTTAGTACAAACAACTTTTTAGGTGAATGATATCATTTATTATTGTGGAATATATTTATTAATGAAGAATTTATGTTGTGTGTAGAATGTGTTGTTAAGAAAAAAAAAATAGGTTGTGTTAGTAGTGGTTGAAGTTAAAGGAGTTGAAACATAATGTTATGGATATGTTCTTCTTAAAATAATATTGTAAACAATAAACTAAATGTAATACTCTTTAACTTTAAACTCAAATAACAATTTAAATAAAGAATGATTTAAGTTGAATTTTATCTTTACAAAATATTATTTTAAATGAAATAAAAGTGAATTAAAGAAATTAATACAATGTCTTTTTAATATGATAAAAATTTCAGTGGTAGGTAAATTACAATTGATATTGTTATTAACTATTCTTTTTTTTTTAGTAATTCAATTATATCTTCAAATATTTTTTCTTTGAAAAAAAATATAAAAATCATCAAAAAAAAAAAAGAAAAATTGAAAATAAAAAATAAAAAAAAACTTAAAAAAAAATAATTTAAGTTCATTATATTATGAAGTTGTTAATAGTGTGCCTCTTTGTGTTGATATGTCATAGTAAATGTCTTACAAATGAAATGTACAGAAATATGTTGGACGAAAGATTCTTAATTGAAGATAAACTTGTTAAATTAGATGCAAGAATTCGAGAAATTGAAGACATTGAAAGAATCACAGAAGATAGGATTGCTTTTTTGAAACAACAAATTCGTTACGCTATTTCTAAACGTGCAATTAAAGGGATAAAAAAACAAATGGCACGAGCTAATGGTGACTTGATATCTGCTAAATTACAAAAAGAACGTGAAATGAATCGATTAAGAAAAATTATTTTGTCTATCCCTAAACACGCTCGTGATGAACTTATTCGTAGTACTCATTTAGAAGTTAGAGTAAGGTCATTTTTAAATCCATTAGACAATGTCGACAAAGTGGTTGATGAAATAGTTAATAAAGAAATTAAATAACATCATCCTTTTTTGTGTTTTTTAAGACATTTTTTAATTTTTTTGTTATTCAAAAAAGTTTAAGAAATAATAATATCAAAATTAATTTATTTATTACCAGTTCATTCTTATTAATATGAATAAATAAATGATGTAATAACCATTAAGTTTAAATGTATTTTTAGAATATCTTAAATTCAAGATTAAATGATAAAATAATAATATATTTGTAAAATAATTAAAAAAAGATGAAAAATTATAAATTCATAAGAGGAAAAAAAGAAGTAATGGGTAGAATAAAAATACTTATGTTTTCTAAAAAAAAATAACAAAAAAAAAATTATAATACGAATAAGCGTTTAGAAAAAAAATCTTTGAAATATAAAAAGACAGTCACATGTTTACTAAAACGGCAACTTCTTTAAACTTATTACATCCAGAAAATGATACAGATGTTTTAAATACATTTGATAAAACAATACAGTCTGGTTTTGTTTCATTACTTTGTAAACAATTATTTGAAAGTAATCTGGAGATCAAAACTCATTGTCAATCACCTTGTCATTGTTCATGGATAATGGAAGTCATTGGTGCAGGATTTAAAATGGATCTCACCAATCATAATTTAATGAATCAATGTATTGATCTTTATGAGTTTGTTATAGTATAATTTAAGAAGATATATTAAAAGAGAATAAATAATAAAATAAATTATAGACTTTGGTTTATAAAAAATGAACAAGTTCCACAAGCAATTTTAGACAATTACAATTTTTATATTGAAAAAATTATTTTACAATTAACTTTTGTATTTGCTCATAATCCATCAAGTCAAGAACAAAAATCATATGAAGTGTTATGTAAAAGAGTTATTTCTATTTATCAAAATTTATATAAATTAATTCGTTCAAGTCCAATTGAAAATACATTTGTTAGAATGATGGTTGCAGTAATGGATGATGTATTTAATTCTCAGAATTACACAGTTATAACAGAATTAATAAGATTTTTTAATCAAATTTGGATATGTTATCAACCAACTGAAATTGAATTATGGAAGGTTTTAACTAATTGTTATGGTAAATGGATTATTAATCAATCAGTTGTTAGTTCTTGGAAAGATGTAATGGTAACTCTTGAAAATCATTTAATTAAAATATTAACAAAAGAAAATAATGAATCATTTGATATAACATTAACATACAGTTCATTTGGAATTAAATGTTCAATGACACCAAAATATCTTCTTTTATTTTATATGAAATTTATGCATCTTATAGGTAATATTTGTAATATTCAAAAAACAGATGTTCATTATAATTTAATTCAAGCAATTGGTAATTTAATTGATATTCTCATTGGGACAAGTCTTACAGGAAATGATATATATAGAATCTTTAGTGATATATTATATCAAACAATAATATATAAAGATCATCGTTTATTTAGTAAATCAATTAATTTGGCATTAATGTTATTAGTTAAGATTTATATTTCTAAGTATTCTATTACTCAATTTGATAAAATGTTCTATTATAAACTTTATTGTTCATTGTCAAAATGTCTTACTTCTTCAAATATTATTGTTATTACAAATGCTGTATCAGAAACTTATAAAATTGTTGAATCAATACCTTCAACTAGTAGTATTATTTTTAATGATATTATTTATGCTATTACTAAAATATCTAAAGAACCTAAAGGAACAACAGAAGAAATTAGACCAATTTCTATTAAATTATTACAAAAAATTCAATTAATGTTTACTGAGCAAAGAGATCAAATGATTTCTTCATTATCAAAAATAAGTTCTGAACAACCTTTTATTACTTCAGTATTAAATATTTGTTTTGAATTTCTTAAAATTGATCCAATTAAAACAAAAGAAGTATTTATTATAATAGGAAGAGTTATAATTTCATTAATAAATAATAAAAGAAATAAAGGAATAAATACAGACATTATTTTATCCAATTTTATTCCATTATTAAGTTCTAATTATCATGAATGGTTCTCTTCTATTTCATCTGGAAATTTAGATTCACTTCTTGAATTATTTAGAATTATTTTAATGTATCGATATTCTTTTTACAAAGAATCAGTTAAAGATATTTTCTTATTAATACAACAATATATTAGTTACAAAATTGATAATTTACAATCAGTATATCCATTACTTAATATATATTCTTGCTATTTTACTTATTGTTATTCTATTATGAAACCAGCTGAATTATTATTTACAATAAATTTAATAGATAAAATGAATAAAATTATTGAAAATGATAATGTACTTTCATCCCTTAGATATGACATTCAATTATATAATTCTCTTATTAATACTTATCTTCCTTCAACAGAAAATAATCAAGATGTTAATGAACTAATTTTAAAGAAAGAATTAATAAATAAATCATTTGATTGGGAAAATTCTATTCATTGTTATTATGTATTTGAACAAGCAATATTTTCTCTAATAGAATTACCTTGGATTGAAAATACTCTTCTTTGTATTATTCGTACTCGATATGGAAAACAAATTTTTACTATGAAAATGCATGATGAAGAAATACAATGGACAAGAATTGATTATTCATGTCCAAGTATTGAAGGTAGTTATAAAGAAATTGAAGTTACAAAAAGTTCATGGACTGAAAAAACTGATTTTATTAATATTAATGAGCTTATGAATATTGTTAAAAAACAAGAAGAAACAAATAGTAAGACAATGAAAAATAGTATATTACATGATCCAATTATTATTTCTAAAAAGAATTGGAAGAGTTATAAATGTACAGTGTTTAATGAATTCTTCCTTCAACGGCTATTATCTACACTATTAAATTTTAATCATTTAACTAATAGTCCTGTAGAAGAACTTGTTGTTAGTGATGATTTGTTTAATGAATTAAAACAACTTGATGAGATTTCTCCTATTAGTCAATATGAAGTATTAATTAAATCAGATCATATAACAGATCAATATATTTCATTCATTGATAATCTTGGTGAATTACAATTAATTCAAAATGAAAAAGAAAAGAAAAACTTGCTTATTAAAGAAGATAATGGTTTTAAAGTTAATTACCAAGTAGATTTATTAAATAATATTATTCCAAATACTAATTATAAAGCGATAATTATTTGGGGGCTTCCTGATAAATTATCTCATTATGATGCAGAATTACAATTTATTATTAGTCCAACTACTTCAGAGTTATTTAATGTTCAACTAAATCAAAAAACTGGAATTGCTTTAGAATCCCAATTAATTCCTTTTGAAACTCTTCCTTCTTTTATATCTTCTGTATTATTAAGTCATTCTTCAAATTCTGAAATCCCAAAAACTATTTTTGAAGAACGTAAAAATATTCTTTTATCAATTGCAGCATTCTTAGATACAAAATATACATGTGTCGCAACTCACTCATTATTCTCTAAGAGTTATCTTCAATCTACTAATCCAGTTGACTTCAAAAATAATGGGGTATTTGAGGTGTTAACATCTGTTAAAAAACCTGTTACTAAATCTCCTTGTTTCTTTAATAGAACAAAAAGTCCAAAAATATTTTCATCAAAAACAACTTCTCCTGGTTTAACTCATGTCACTGGAGCACATGATAATATTCAACCTAATAAAAAAGTTACAGAAAGTGAAGGACCAAGCCCAGCCTCTGTACCAAATAAAACAAATTCTCCAAGTACTCGTGTGACTTTAGGAACATTTAGAAGAAAGCCAGTGGCAGAGTCATTAAATGAAAGACCTCATTCAATGAACCTACAAGAAGTATTAAGTACTTCTAAAAAAATTGAAGAACCTACATCTACCCCTCAAGTAAATCAAACTCCTTCTCATACTTCTAATTCTCAAATTTCAACTCAACCTGCAACTGCTCGTTTTGGTGTGTCATTAAACTTCAATGATATTAAAGCATTTAATAGGTGTGCCATTGATGAAGAGTCTAAAGACGTAACACCACCAAAAGTTGCTTCTCAATCTATCAATAGTTCTTCTCAATCTATTATTTTAAATACAAAATCATCTCCAACTCAACAAACAGGAAAAGTTTCTTTATGGGGTCAAAAACCAGTTTCTTCAAACCCTCAAAATGTTTTAAGCCAATCTTCTGGAAGTGAACCAACTCAATCTCATACTCCTGTTACTCGAAGAACATTTGCTGATCATAATTCTTCTTTCAAAAGAAGATCTTCATTCATTCCAAGAACTCCTGTTGTAGCTTCACAAGAACTTGAACCTGTTACTCAAAATGAATCTCCTGGTCCATTACATAATTCTGTTTCACATGGCTCATTACACTCACCAACAAACTCTGTTGTTCAAGGAATTCCACAACCCTCAAGCAGCACTCCACAACGAAGGGCTTTCTTTGCAAGAAGAAATCCAAGGCAATCGCTTGATAACCAATAATTATGAATTTCTTTTATTTGTCATATTTATTTTTGTTATTTATTACATAAAATCTTCTATCATGTTTATAATCTAAAAAACTAACAAATAGAAAAGAAATACCCTTGAATTACAATATGAAAAAATAAATAATACAAGGTTTATGTTAGTGTATTTAATAAAACGAAAGTGGCTATTTATTTTGGTTTATTCATGTTCATAATGTTTTGGAGTATTTTATTTGTTTCTTGAGACTGTTTTTTAATATTTTCAATTGTTTCAAGTAATTGAGAAGCAAGTGCATCTACTGAGTCTGAAGTGTCTTCAGTAAATTCATCACAATCTTCTAAATCAAAAACTTCATCATTAAAAGAGTAATCTTCTTCCATTGGAGTTTCACTAATTTGGTTCATAGAACAACTAAACGTTTCTTGTTCTTGATGACACAGACAATTAGTTTGGAGAGTAGAGCAAACTTGGGTTGGTACCGAAAAGAAATTACATGAGGATTGTTTTGAGTCTACATTCAATGGATACGCTGTGGTAGTGTAACAAGGAGAGAAGAATGGAGAAGAGAATTGAGGCATGTTCATCAAAATGAGAGATAGAATGATTTTATTAATGAACTAGCATTGTTACTTTTTAATGTTTATTTTATGTAGAAGGTTTGAGAAATTCAATTCACTTTCACTTTTTGTTTCTTCTCCTTGTTAAAAACAAATTTCCATTCAAAAAGCAAAAATACATTTAACAGAAGTTTCTCTATGAATAGATTAGAACATAATTCTATTCGTTTTTTTTTGTTTCTTTAAGTGATTCACAATAATATAAAGGTACTTTGTTTTATTCTTTTATCAATTAACTGATAAATTAAATCATGGATTTAAATTCTTTTTATTCAGATGGTATTACCAATGAGGTAGTTATAAAATTCATTCAAATTTTCTTCTTCAAAAGACTTTAACTAATTTAATAATAGAAACTAAAAATAGCTTCATTTATTTCATTATCTGTTTTTTATTAAATATTCTGTCTAATAAATCTATAACTTATTTTGTTAATTTTATTATAGTGTGTTTATTGAATTACTTATTGCATTTGTTATTTCTATAATTCTTTAAAATATTTATCATTAACCTGTTAACATTAGAGAATTTTTTCTAAAACCAATTGTTTAATTAGTGTTTGTTTAATATAAACATCAATATTTTTGCAGTTTATTAGAGAATTATCAAGACAAGACATCCTTTTACTAAAAGGGGATATTTTATTGTTTGTTCTAATCTTAAAAAAAGATATTCTAGGTTTTAAAATATGAAAAAAAATTAATAAATTCTCAAAGACATTTCTTTTTTTGTTGTGTTAAAGTTAAGTTTTGTTTAAGAACATAATTAACATAATTCTTTTAAGACATTTTTGGTAGGTAGATGGCATAGTATAATGGTTATTATTTTTTTTAAAGAACTAAGAAAATAAATGAATGGGGTTGATAGACATAGTATGTTAATTATTGGAAAATACTTTCAAACAAGAAATGATTATGTTAATGTTATGAGTGTTTGTAAAAAATATCATGACATAGTTGATCTGTATCACTTTAATCCATTTCCTTTATTAAGTCAAAATGATCGAGCAATGTTTATATCACTTGAAACACAACATATTTATTCTTCAAATGATATAATTTATGAAGACGTTTTACAGTATGTTATTCATTGTGAAGTTTCATATGACACATTCATTGGTAAAGAACCAAATACACAATACCTTCAAGTCAAGTTCACAAAAAATGACATGAAAAGCTATGGATATGAAATTCCAAGAGACTTTGAAGTAAAGGGTATAGGTAAAGATTGTTTTAAATCATCATTAATAAGATTAATGACGATACCTAATAATATTCATTATATAGAAGAACAAGCATTCTTTCGTTGTAGGTATTTAACATCAATTACACTTTCTACATCAATAAAAATA